ATCACTTGAATCCAGGAGTTTGAATCCAGCCTGGACACATAGTGAGACCCTGTCTCTGGAACAAAAAAAAAAAAAGGAAAGAAAAGAAAAACCCACTGGCCTGAGGTAACTGATGATGGGAGCTCAAGTAGGATTTAAGGAGCCCTTCAGTTTTCATTAGCAGTGAAGAGATGGTAGTAATCAAGATAGGTGGCCTTTCTTGTCCTGGGTTTATATTGTCATCCTGATTTGAACCATAGATTTTTGGTTTCTCCTTGCTTTGGGATTTTTTTTTCCCGCAAGGGCCCCAGCTTTTAGGGATGACATTTTATATTTTACACACCACTTAGCTTGCCCTGTGTCTGTAAAGGCAGCATATTTGAATATATGAAGTTTAGATTAGATTGAATTTCACAGTTTGGTTGAATATTGGAGTTTCTCTGTTTGCTTTGTTGTTTCTTGGTTTTATTTCATTTTAAGTTTAAGATCTGTTGTTTCTTTGGAGGAGAACAAGGTGTGCTAGCAGTTACAGCAGCCAACTGGGTTGGCCTGAGAGGAGACGGCCTGAAAAGCAGAGGTAGCCTCACAGGTCAAGGTGCCAGGATGTTGGTTATTTTCTTAAAAACCAACCAACCAACCAAAAACCACAATTCAGACTGTTCTACAGCAGTCTGTCTTCCTGTGGTTCTTATAGGCTAGCTTAAATCTTGGGTAGAGAGATGCTTATCACATGTGCTATATATCTTTCTTTTTCCAGAGGGATAGCAAGAATATTTGAAATAAGTCCATTTGAGCCCTGGACAACGAGGGATAAGGTGGAGCGGGTGAGTGTATGTGTGGAAAGCATCTGCCTGGGCAGACAAGAAGTCAGACTTATTTTGGTCTGCCTGCTTGCTTGTTTCCCTGCTCTTGTCTGTTTGCTGTTCTTGCTGTTTGTGGTCAACCCCTCTGCTAGCACTGAAACTCATCCAGCTGCCCTACTCCAGGGGGCGGCTCCTCCATACCTGCCCGTCATTATCAATGTTTCTTTCTCTGCTGGATCATTCCCATCAACACACAAAAATGCCTAATAGCTCCCCTGCCAAAGCCTCTCTTCCTCCCATCACTCTTCCAGCTACTTTGCTGTTGTGTGCCTTCATGTCGTAACACCTCCTCACATCCTGACGAAACTGTTGCCAGTTTTTTCATCCTTTCCTTAACCTATTCCAACCAGGCTTTTATTCCTATTTCTCCCCTAAACCTCTTTTCAAGGCACCCACAGTCTCCGTGCTGCCAAATGCAGTAGTCAGTTCTCAGACCTCATGTCATGTTCCTGTGCATTTGCTGCTAGGGAGGATGCAAAATAAAATAATAATACTATACCCAGTACTATACCCAATACTATACCGTATCTACCTTTGAAGACCTATGGACCATATATTGACAAGAAGCAGCTAGATTGTCCCCTGAATGCTACCTAAAAGCTCATGTGTAGAGAATATGAGAAAACAGTGCTTAGGGAACATGTGGAAGTCAGCAGCTCTCATACTGGCTGCGTCTGGAGAGCCGAGGCCATTTCTGTGATGTCCCTTCTGTGTTTATGAAATATCAGTCAGGATAACTGGTGGCCAGACACTTCAGTTTATCTTACACCAAAGTGTCTCTTACATTTATAATTGAGAATATGCTGATACAGTGGCAAGAGTGGGTTTTGAATTTGGTTTGCCAGCTAGCTTACAGCACTCTGGTGAAAGAATTGCAGACTTTCAGGTGGGTAGGATGAGGGATTGATGCTGCTCTAGGTGCAGATGGATTCCATTATGTGCTTTTGAATAATCTGAGATCTTTGCAAACTTTACAGTTCATTGCCTTTCCCTAAAAACAAGATGGGTTTAGTTTTCTCGCTCTGCACTGAACATTAGTCAACCCAGGTTGAGTATAGCTGGAGCAAAAAGAGGTCATTGGTTTTTGTTTTTAATGGGCGAGGAACAAATGCTGTTATCTCCTAAATTCAAAGTTAAAACTGAGTCAGAATGCCCATGCTTAGAAAATAGGGACATGAGAGAGCTCAGGAATGGACTGGCTCTGCTTTAGGCCTGATTTTATTCCTAAACCCTCCTGTTAAGCCTCCCCTGGCAAGTGTGATGACTTGCGCTTCCCTGCCCTAGATTTATTTCTGTGGAAATCTGTATATAGAATGTACAACATGTAGTAGTGCCAACATCCTGTGCTCGTGACTACCACTGGGGACCTCGATCTGAAACTTGGTGATCTTGCCCTTTTTTTGTCTTAAGCCCTCATTCTGTGTTCTGCTTTTATAGTGATTTGCATGAATCGAAAATTGCCCCATATTCTTTGAAAGCAATTAAGTCTCAATAATAGGACTCATGCCCGCTTGAATGTTTAAATGCATGCCAGGATAGCACTTTGTTCTCGGCCAGTTTTCAGCATTGTCTACGGTCCTTTGTTTATTCAAAGATTCACATCACAGACATGAAATTTCCTAAGCTGCCCGGCTTAAAAGACCTCGGTATTCAGCCAACACCACTGGAACTCAAGGCCATTGAGGTGCTGCGGATACATCGCGCTTACCGCTGGCTGACTGCTGAAATTGAGGATGCGAAGCCGGCCAAGACCGTCAACTTTTAGTGCCCCTCAAGCAGCTCTTGGTTTTGATGTCTTTTGGGTCAGCCAATGTGGTTGAGCACCCAGCCAGGTGGTCTCTTTAAAGAATCCTGTACACAGTCAATAAGGTCGTACTATTAAAACATTTGAGGTTGAATTCTGCGGTATTTTCTTTCTTGATTTATAAAATGAGAAATGCAGTCATTTCAAACTTGAGCATAATTTTTTGTTAAACATACATATTTAATAATGACATATATATTATTTATTCTCTGAAATGCCAGAGAGCTTGAATTTTCCTTTGACAAGCCACTTCTAGCATATGTTCTGGAAGACAAGGACCCTTTTTAATGTTAAAATATCGTAAAGACCCCAAGTGATATGTGATTGTTTTTAAATCTTTATTAAATTAGAGAATATACAATATCCTTTAACCCAAATGTGTTTACACTAAAGGTGTTTTAAAAATTTATTTTAATAATGTCCATATACCTTCTAAAAATAGTAGTACATATATAGAAAAACATTGTCTATAGGTTCTTAAAGCCCTTGCTGTAATTCTACAGTCTTCTTGGATCTGAGCTATCTGAAGCTAGCCCCATGCCCGTAGTACCACATCTGGATTCTTTCCAGACATACAGGTTTAGATAGATTCTCTTCCCATGCAAAGGAGATGCTTCAGCCTCTATGCAAGTAGTGCCGGCACTTAGGAATTAGGACTTTCTAATTAAGTCCTTAAAATTGCAGCCAAGATCCAGATGAACAGTTGGTTTAGTGTTAGCATATCCCCCCAGTACAGTATGATTTAAAACTCCCAGAATTTGTGGTGAAGCCAATATGGTGATCCCAGGGTTAGTCACTGAGTTTCACTGGATTTCAGCCTTTTGATCTACATTTGGGACAGGAATGTCGGTAAAAACCCAGTTTGATTATGGTAATGCCCATCTCCTCCTTATAGAGAAAGGTATATCAGTGTTGAAGGTAAGTTCTCCACCTGCCCTTTTTGCATGCATCAGAATAGTTTTGTCCCAAAACAGGCAACAGTGTGCTACTCCAAGTGTGGTCCATAGATCTCCAGCATTGGCATCACCTTGGGACTTGTTAGAAATGCAGAATCCAGACTGGGCACCGTGGCTTACACCTGTAATCCCAATGCTTTGAGTTGCTGTGGTGGGAGGGTCGCTTGAGGCCAGGAGTTGGCAATATGGAAAGACCTTGTCTCTACAAAAAAAATTTGAAAAAGTTAATAGGGCATGGTGGCACGTACCTGTAGTCTCAGTTGCTCGGGAGGCTAAGGTGTGAGCATTGCTTGAGCCTGGGAGTTTGAGGTTACAGTGAGCTATGGTAGTGGCACTGCACCTCAGCCTGGGAGAGAGTGAGATCCTGTCAAAAAAAAAAAAAAAAGGCAGAATCCTAGGCCATGTCCTGTCCCAGGCCTGTTGAATCAGAATATGCATTTTAGCAAGGTCTCCAGGAGACTTGTATGCACATTAGGTTATGAGAAACACCGCCATACACAAGAGCTATATCGGAGTTCGGTGTGACTCCTGTTTTTAATCCAGCTTGCTGACCAGTGCCCCAGACCTACTGAACCAGACTCTCAGGATGGAGGGCCCAGGAATTTTAGTTTTATTAAACATTCCAGTTTATTCTGTACACTAGTATGTCAGAATCAGTATACTAGGGAAAAGAACGCAACTCCAACTTCACGTTTTTTCTTCAGATATCACCTGTTATTTTGGATTACACCCCTGCTGGCAGTAAGCCAGCCAGTAGGCACAGAAATGGGTAGATTTAATTTGAAAAGAAACTATAGTCCTATAATGCACATTGTCCTCACTTGTAATATCTGTATTTCTTTCCTTTTTTTGATTCTTTAAAAAAATTTTTTATTGATGCATAATAGATGTAAATATTGTCAGGGTATATGTAGTAATTTGATATATTCCTATAACCAAGTCAGTGTAATTGGGATATCCATCACCTTACATATTTACCTTTATGCGGGTAGCATTTGAATTACTCTCATCTAGCTCTTTTGAAATGTACAGTAGATTAGTATTAACTTTAGTTACCCTGCTGATCTCTTGAACACCAGGTCTTATTTCTTAAAATTTTAACTGTAATTGTCTACATTTTGTAGCAATGCTGTTTCTCATCTCTAACTTGTATCAGAACTCAGGATGCTACATACTTCTAAAGCTATAATTGAACCAGGATAGATTTTGCTTCCTGTTCACACCCAGCCCCGACTTTTGTAACAAATAGTTTGTAATGCACTTTTTATTATCCTGATATGGAAGTCATAGTTACTATAACCTGTCTATATTTGTAATCAAAATACAACTAATGCCTTATGTAAACAAGAAGTGAAAGGAAAGTAATACACAGTAAGATGTATATACAGCACGCCAACACTGAAGGCATGATGAAGTCGTCCGTTGCTTGCATCCATATGGGCAATCACCATGACTGTGATAACAAATGCAGACTGGTCTGATGCAGGGGCAGGTCACAGTCTCCACTTAAATGCCATCAGCAGCATTGCTATTATGTCAACTTCTGAAATAGTGAACGACTTCCAGTAAAGTTCAAAACAAAATCGAATAGAATCTTCCCTAAATTTATATGATTCTTGCATTCCTAGAAAATTCAGTATATATTAAACCCATAATAAAGGTCCTGTTTATGTAACCTAGATATAAATCCAATGAAATACATACAAGATGTATATGAGGGAAACTACAACCTCTGATGAAACAAATCAAAGAAGAACTACATAAATGGAGAGATATTTTAAGTTCATGGATAGGAAGATTCAGGACTGTCAAAATTTGCATCTTTCCAACTTGATCTATAGATTTAATGCAATTCCAATAAAAATCCCAGCAATTTATTTTATGGATATCAAGAAATTAATTCTAAAGTTTACATGCAGAGGCAAAAGATCCAGACTAGCTAACATAATACTTAAGGAGAAGAAAAATGGAAGAACGCAGACTACCTGAATTCCAGACTTTTTTTTTTTTTTTTTTTTTTGAGACAGAGTTTGGTTCTGTCACCCAGGCTGGTAGTGCAGTGGCGTGATCTCGGCTCACTGCGACCTCTGCATCCTGAGTTCAAGATATTCTCCTGCCTCAGCCTCCCCAGTAACTAGGATTACAGGCGTGTGCCACCACACCCAGCTATTTTTTTTTTTTTTTTTTTTGTATTTTTTAAAGTAGAGACAAGGTTTTGCTCTGTTGGCCAGGCTGGTATTGAACTCCTAACCTCAAGTGATCTGCCCATCTCAGACTCCCAAAGTGTTGGGATTACAGGCGTGAGCCACTGTGCCCGGCCTCCAGACTTCCTATAAAGCCACAATGATGAAGACAGTGTGGTATTGACAAAAGAAGGGACAAATAGGTAAACAGAACATAATAGACCTTTCTTTTACTTGGCTGAAATTCCAAAGTAACTTTTCCTAAGTGCTTCTTCCAATATTTGTATAAACTGATAGTTCTACCTTTGAATTATTTAAAGTCTCAGTAGAATGCCTAAATGAAATGGAAACTGAGCTGTTGGCTGGCACATGGCAGCTGGTAGGTAAGGCAGTGCTTCAAATCATTATCCATCAGATAACATGCAAGGAACTGAGGGTCATGAAAGTGAATTACGTGGACACATATGGGCTGTATAAAAATTGTTTCTATTCTAAAGTAGTTCTGATGCTAGTGGCCAAGTCTTCCTTGCTAGGTCACTAATGAAACTCTTAACCAGGCATGGGAAATAACAACAGCAACAGCAAGACAAATAAACCAGACCCCATATTTTAGTTCTGGTCCCAGTGCTCCTCTTCTTTTGTTACCTTGTTCTGCAATCTATATTGGTCTATTTTTCAGGATAATCTTATTCCTTGGATCAATTCTCTTTTTTAAGAATAGGCACTCTGGGATGATTAATTAATTACAAAGAATTCTGTCACTCTGCCATTGCTCAAAGTTAATTATTTAGCAACAATATTGACTATACCATTGGTTCTTCGTCTTTATGTGCAACTGAATTACGTGTTATCATTCTCTCCAATTCTATGGTATGATTATTTTTCCTCTGTTCATATGCTGGGAGAGATTTGTCTAAGCCTCTTGATTTTTGTGGAAAAGATCATGTTTAAACTGAGTTATGCCTGAAAGCTTTCTTACTTGGCAATCTTACTTGCCTTATGATTTCTTCCTGAGTCATATTATCTCATTTTCCCTCTTGGATGAGTAGTTGGGGTCAAAACACTTGGATATGTTTTTTTGTTTGTTTGTTTGTTTTTTTATAGATTGTGATCTGTTTCATATATAGAGTTTAGCACAATGATAAATATATAGGCAACCAACCGAGGTGATCAGGAAGGACACTGGGAAGTGGATTTATATGCAAAAGAAAACTACATGCATGCTGTCTCTACTAACCCCCAAAATGATAGCATAAAGAAATATGACCTAAAACACTAAAAAGAAAAGAGTGCAATGTGACCTAGAGTGAATATTATTGAGCTTTCCTGTCCTCAGTTTCCTCACCTATAGAACGAAATAATAATTCCTGCACCACAGGGTGATTGTGAAGACCAAATGAAATCACATGTATGAAAGACCCAACACTGGCTGGCCCTTACAAGATGCTTACAAAATATTTATTATTTTTTTCCTCCAACACATGTTCACAATCTATAAATAAACTTTTTTAAAAAGCCACCATTATCAATCTTATCTTTGTAAAATAAACACATCTTCTGAAGTTGCCAAATACTTGTCTTTTTTAATTTTTAATTTTAATTTCGATATTTTAGAGATGGGGTCTTGGTATTTTGCCTAGGTTGATCTTGAACTACCTCGGCTTCCCAAGTAGGTGGGACTATGGGTGACTGCCATCATACCCAGCCCTATACAGATATTTGTAACTGATTTAGTAAGAATACAGCTTAATGTCTTGAGAACATATTATCCCCATATAAGAATAGAATGTGCAGAAATTTTAGTGATGAAATACGAAGGAAGATTTTCCCCCACAAACAGTCAGAATAATGATCAACAAAAGTAATCCTTTCTGAAACATCTCCCATCTGACTAGAGGCTTTTGCGGCAAGGGAGAGGAAAGAAAGACATTATTAATGGTTGAATCACCGTTTTTTTTTTTCCCTAATAGGATTTAAGACCACATAAACATAAAAATGTCCATTGTTGTTGAATGTTCCATTGTTACTGAATGTTTCATTGTAATGTTTAACTCCAGTACCCTCCTACTTTCAAAACTGTTCATTTCCTCTTAGGACATTTTCTACCCTTGATGTCTTTCCAGTGCTTGAGACTTAAATTTCCATTTGCTTACGGGACACATCTGATCTGCAGAGGCCTTCCCAATGAAAGAGGTGCCTAGTTGATCTAAGTGTTTCCCTCGTCTCT